TATTTATTTATTTAATTTAGTATTTAATTTATTTTATTTTATATTTATTTTATATTTATTTATTTATTTTAGTATTTTATTTTTGCATGTCGTCTAATAAAATAAAATAAAATGTTATTTAAATAAAAAATATATTTTTTAATTTTATTATTTTGTTTAAAAATAATAAAATATTTTATTTATTATATATTTGATTTTATTCTAAGACGACAAGCAATAAGTGTATAAAGAAAAATCAGTTATTTTATTTCTATTTTATTAGACAACATGCCATAATTGTATAATTAAAATAAAATATTGAAATAAAATAAAACAATATTTTAATAGCCAACATGCAACAGAGTAAATCAAATAAATAATTGTTTTTTTTATTGTATTTTATTAGACTTTATTAGAATAAAGCATTTCATTTTACTTAAGTATACATGTTTAAGGTTTATATTAATTTTACATTTATTTAGACAATTATATATATCTATCATAAATTCAGTTATTCATAGATTTCATGCCAGTTTCATGTGCATGTCATTTAAATGTTTGATTCCCAATTATTGATCACTTCTGTATTCAATAAATGATGCTTTTCAAATTACACCACCCAATAAAAGTAATAATTATCAGTCAAATAATCAATAGACGTCGTGGAGTAGTTTAACAAATCTATATCAATCAGTTGAAGAATGTTGAAGTAAAATGAATAAATAAGTATAAATATGTATTTTTTTGTTGAATTTGATTGATCGGATGAAATATTTAAATATTTAATCAATTATATATATATATTGATTATGCACTATTTCTGGCTAATCCATTATTTTCTGCTGCTGTCATTAAAGCAAGAAAATGCGAAACAGAAGCATGACCACCAATGATCTCAGATTCTGAATGATGGAGGAGATCAACGAGGTAAGTGTGAGTTTATAGCGCGTGCTATAGAGCGGAACTAAAGAGCGCGCGATGGTGTTTCTGAGGGGGACACATTGAGTGCTGCACCGGCCGAGTGTTTACATTTGGACTTCTGCAGGTAAATAATGTTAAATACTCAAGTTCAGATTAATCGTAGCATGAAGCTAAAATTCATATCCACGGTATTTGTACTTTCTGGGTGCATGTCCAAAATAGGACAGTACATGTGGGAAAAAAACATGGTAATACTATGGTATTTTTAGTGATGCATTGCATTTGTATTTGTGTAGTACTCAGAGAAATGTATAAGAATACCATGGTACGTTTTAGTGATACCATGCATTTACAGAGTACTGGTACATTTATAAGAATGTCATAAAAACATGGTATTACTGTAGTAAAAACGTGGTAA